CCCTGTGAGGGTGGTGAGACACTGGCCCAGGTTGCCCAGGGAGGCTGTGGCTGCCCCAACCTTGGCAGTGTTCAAAGTCAAGTTGGATAAAGCCTTGAGCAACCTGCTGTGGTGGGAGGTGTCCCTGCACAGGGCAAGGGATTTTGACTAAATGATCCCTGAGCTCCATTCCAACCCTTAAATTCGATGATTCTATGACATATCTCTCTGCTCTGTGCAGTGTTTGGTACATCTGAGCTTAAGGAATAGAAGGAAATACTTCAAGGGAGGTGCAGAGGAGCATCACCACCTGGGAGATGCTCCTAAAACCCCTGGGCATGACAGGATCATCCCCTGGGGCACCACAGTATGTTAAGAGGTTGGAATGGAACTTCAAGATGATCCAGTGCCAACATCTTCCACCAGAGCAGGTTGGTCAAGGCTTTATCCAACTTGACTTTGAACACTGCCAGGGTTGGGGCAGCCACAGCCTCCCTGGGCAACCTGTGCCAGTGTCTCACCACCCTCATGTTGGGTTGATGGTGAGGGTTGGACACCAAATGATTTTGCAATGTCCATGTTTTGCTTCTGCCATGCTCTGGACCCCACGAGCGGTTCCCGAGCTGTCGGCTCCCGTTTCATGCTCGGCTTCCTCCCCTCCATTTAGCCTTTTAGCAGGGGGATCAATAAACCCACATTCAAACAGTGCCTGGAACCTCATCCCAGCCACCCTCAGCATGAAGCAAAAAAAAATCCAGAGGACAGGGAAATCAGATTTGGAGCTTTAAAGTCATCCCATGTTGGGGCTTTTCTCTTGCCTCGGGGGAGATGATTTGATGGTATGACCTGAAGTCTCAGCAGAATCAAAGCAAAACCTTGTTTGATACTTCATCATTGTTCCTGTTTTCTTCTCAGCTCCTGTTCGATTTGATTTGTTCTTCCATGTGGAGCAGGGTTAGGTCTGGAACAAGGCAGAAATGAGCACAAGGTGCAAAATTTAGAGAGAATTAGGGAATGCTATTGGTATCTCCTCTATCTGGAGCAATGGGGATGTTTGTAAGTGCATTTCTGATTTCATGCCCTTGCTTAAATCCCATTTTCCAGGCATTTACAGACCATGGGAATTGTGAAGCTGAGTGTCCAAACTGATGGACAATCAGCTTTTCCCCATCTCCCATCACTTACTGCCTGCCAAACCCAGTATTAATCCAGGGATGAAACCTGTTCCCATGCTGTGCTGGGATCCATCCTCAGTCATTCCAGGAAAATGGAATCAGGATGTTGGTAGCTGCTTGTCCTGGAAGGAGAGAAACTAAAGGAAATTAGATTTCTTTCCCCAAATACATGGAAATGGATTAGCTTTTATTAAGAAGTCTCACCTGGAGAGAGGGGGAAGAAGGAGCTAAACCAAAATCCCTGGAGCCTACGAGTTCCAGGCAAAGACAGGAACGCTGTTACTCCTTAAATAACTGCTCATCCCATTCCCTGAGCTGCGAGTTTTACCTCCTCCATTTGCAAATAAACCCCCAATTTTGGCCACAATGTGTTCAAACAGTTCAGAACCAGAACTGCTCAGCTCCAGTGGCTCCTGGCTCTAGCTGCATTGGGAAAATACCACTCAAAAGTGGCTTTTTTTTTCAGGAATGTGCTGGGGTTTGGTTCTCATTTAGTTAAAAAGCGAAGGCTGGAAATGGTCAGAAGAGGGAGACAGAGCCCAGTGCTCACCACCTTTCCCTATTTGGGCATCCACATATAGCAAACCGAATTCCAGCTCCCAAAATACTGATAAGAGTCACCAGAAAACTTTGTTTCCTTTTTGGTGTGAAAAACCTGAGTTTTTTTCCTTCATTTTTGAGATCGCACAGAATATTCCGAGTTGCAAGATCCACAAGGATCATTGAGACTCCCAACTCTCCTGCACAGAATATTCCCCAAAAATCCCCATTATCCAAATACTCCTGGAGCTCTGGTGCAAGATGATTTCTTTTGCAGCTACAGCCACCCTGGAGTACAGTGGGATTTTGGTACATCCAGAGAGAAAACAGCTCCCTGATCCATCCTCCCTCCCCTGCATTTGATTTCTGGCTCCTGGGGAAGCTTTTCCATGGGTAGGTTGTGAATGAGCTTGTGCTGGAACAGCCCTGGAACCTCAGCAGAGGATTTCACTGGGGTTTTTTGATAGAAATACACAGATTTTTGCAACTCCTCTGTCTGAGGTTTCCCAAAGCAGCTCAGCTCACTGCTGAGCTGTTTAATTCCCACATCCCTAGTGATGCAAGAGGCAATTGCCACTTTGATCATCACATTGTGCTGAAACAGAAATGTTAGAACAGGTAACTCCTTACCTGGTCAGTAGAGGTTGGTCTCCAATCCCGTGGGCAGCACATTCCTGCATTAAATCCATCTTGGTTTTAAGGCTGGGCTCTCCTTTTCCTGGTCTGGGATTAAAAACTGAAGCCATAGTTCATGAGCAAGAGCTGGGAATGTTCAGAAATGTGTGTTTTCCTTCTGTGCAAGCCATCGTGATCGAGGAGGTGCAAGTTTTGTCTCCCTGGTGATCTGATTCCTGGAAAAGCCCTTTGGAAAAGCTCTTCAGAGAAAGCTGCTCAGTGATTTCCTTCAGCTGTGCCTTTCTGGGGCCTGGGCACGTCTGGGGAGCTCTCAGCAAGCCAAGATTTTCCAGGAAAACAGGCTAAACCCAGCTCAAAAGACACCCCAAAGCACAACAATGATGGGACCACCTCCCTCCCTGTGGCCCAACCGCGTGAGGAGACTGGAAGCAACTTTGCAAAACACAACTGAACTTCCATTTATTGTGTAAAAAAACCACCCCAAAAACTCAAGGAAGACATGTACAAATGCTTCAAAAAGGCCAAGGGAGGACCCTTGGGAGCTCACGTGCCTGCACAGTGACTTGTGGGTTTGTAACCTTCCAGTGTTACCTTACAGTTCCCCCAAAGTATCTCCAGAACCTGAGACGACACGTCGCATTATTTCCACGTTCGACGTCTCTCCCTCGCTGCTCCAAGCTGCTTTTCAGTCCTCCTCCTTCTCACACTTTGCTGTGGCTGATGGTGCCTTCCTCCTCCTCCTCCTCCTCCTCTTCCTCATCCCTAGCATTGACAGGGATGTAACCTCCTTCCCTGGGCAGGCACCAGCACCAGCCTGCGCCGCTCAGATCCACCGTCCTGAAGCTGAAATCCCTCATCTCCAGGATCTTGAAGTCAACAGTGTCCAGCTTGGAGTAGATCTCATTGAGCTCTTGCCAATAGAGCCAAGCCATCACCAGGCCAACCACCTGCAAAATGTTAGAACCACTGTAGTCATGCAAACCTTTCCTGAGGGTCTTCTCCTGCAAGGGACGTGGCACCAAACCTGGGCAGGAGGCAAGAGAGGACAATACACAGTAAAATCATAGAAGGAAAGAATCATATAGAATGGAAAATCCCTCTGAGATCATCAAGTTCAACCCTTAATATACAAGTAACAGTAAAATCATAGAAGGAAAGAATCACATAGATTGGAAAATCCCTCCGAGATCATCAAGTTCAACCATTAATATACAAGTGCCAAGGCCACCATTGACCATGTCCTCAAGTGCCACATTTACACAACTGTTAAATCCACACTGGACACTGGAATGGACTTTCTAGGGAGGTGGTGGAGTCACCATCCCTGGAGGTGTTTAAGGAGAGATTGGATGTGGCACTTGGTGCCATGGCCTAGTTGACAAGGTGGTGTTGGACTTGATGATCTCAGAGCTCTTTTCCAACCTGATTGACTCTGTGCAATATCTTGGCAACTCCTTCTGTTATCCAATGGCCTGGGATGAAGTTATTTTACAGCTTCACTTAATGTTGGACAATGCTTAGAGATGTCTCTGTTTCTCCATGTAGCCCAGAGACATCACTCCCATGTGGAACCAGAAAATCAGATTGTACTAATCCACATTTAACAGCAAAGACACTGAGGATTTGAAAAGTTTTAAAATAATATTTCAATGTGTGTCAAGCTTAGCTTTATTTACTGCCATTAGCTTGTCATCCCTCAGCAGATTAAAATCCTACTGCTGCTCCCAGGAAAGCTCCGAGCGAGCAAAACCCTTCGACACGACACATTTCTAGGCAAATGTGTCACTTTTTCCACCCAAAACCAAACCATAATTCCAAAAGGATTTGTGTTTACACCACAGTGAATGCAAATGAAGCTCATTCTGCAAACCCAGGCAGGTCTGGGGACATCACTCCTGCTCCTCTCCTCCCACGACGATGCCAAGTCTGAGTTCTCCTGGTTCAACTGGGGATTTCTTGAAGGGAATTAAATTATCCCAAGTTCTCCATCAGAGCCTGAATCCCACAGCCTTCCCTCTCCTGTGAGTTATGGACCAGCTCCCATCCCAGCTTGCCTCTAAATATCCTCCTCCTCTTAATGAAAACAGAAAAAGCTGTCAGGAATATGAATGCATCCAATATCTCCAGCACCAAGGGCACTGTGTTTTCCAGAAGTAAAGAGAATTCTAACGCAAACGTTGATTTTATTGTGCTGAAACATGAAGGAAGAAGTTGCTGCAGAGGAACATGTTAACAAAACGTAGCAAATGTGAGAGTAAAAAAATTAAAAAGCTGTTTCTCTCCCAGCCCTGTGATGGTAATCACCACTGAGTGTGCAGAGAACTGCTCAGGAGTTACTACTTGAGGGGCATTTTGAGTTAAGAAATTGCCTGTTCTTCCTGGCTGGAATTCAGCACAGTATGGAAAGCACCACATGCCCAGTTCAGAGCTCTGTGCCTCTTTGGGCAGCTGCAAAGCTGAATCCTCCTCACCAGAAATATTGGCTCATCAAGCTTTCCCCCAGCTAATGAAGTAAAAACCAAGCATTTCTCTTGTATTGACTTTTCCTTCCATAAACTGATATTTATAGTCAAGGCTCCATAGAGGTCATGGACTACAGATGGAAAAAAAAAATCCCTTTTATTCCTGTTTTCTACTACATTAAGCAGCATCAGCCACTCGAGAATCCACCAGCCCCTGGAGCAAGAGAGATATTGAAAGGCAAACAAAGCACAAATTAATCTTGCACAGGAAAAAGGAACTTGGGCAATCCAATGCCCTTTGCAGGAAGAAACACTGAACATCACTGTCACCAAGAGATGAAGATGCCAAACTGCAAAATGCAAGTCTAATGAAAGGGAATTAAAGAGTGGATTTTCTGGATTTATACTCTGAGGAGGAACATCTACCCCTACCCTGACACCTTGTTACTCTGGAGCTGCTCCCAGTGTGGAGCTTTGGAGCTGGATGCAATCCCAAAGTGAAACAGAGGCAGATGTTAACCCTTGGCAGCTGGAGCAGGATTTGCTGAGGTCAATCTTGAAGCTGCTGAAGGAAAAATGCATGAGCTCCCGTGGTTTATTTCAGCCTCAAACACGTCTCCTCCACGCTGCAAACCCTCAGACAATCTTGCTGGAGGCAGGAAAGATCAGGGTGCAGCCAGCAGAAAACAAATTTCTGTGCTTTGCTGCACCTGCTGAAAGATCTGGGGTTGCTTCATAATTAAAGACAACGAGGACGAGGCCATGACAGGAATTTGCCTGTGACTGCCAGGGACTAAATTGAAACGTCTTTCTGGAGGTGATATGAAATGTGGCACAGCTTGGCCTCAGTCTGCAGCTTGGCTGAGGCAAAGGGCCAGGGGAGGGAATTGCTGCTGGAGAATGAAACATAGGAAAAGGGAGGGAGAACATTAAAGGTGTTCAGAACAGTAATTGAGCTGCTGCAGTTGTGCTTCACCCTGATGGAATGAGACAAATGAACACAACTATTTTCCTCCTTCTCAAATGTTTTTTTTTTCCCCCAATGCCTCATTCAAAAAAGGCAGAGACATTCCTGAGTTTGGAGGAATCAGGAAATTACAAACTCCCTCTGCCTTGCACCAGCCAGGAGGGAGGCCAATTGCCACACAATCCCAACCTTGTCCCCAGAATCCTGCAAGTTTTCCACCAAGGTGGTTTGCAGCTCCACAGAGAGGCACATGTCCTGTGTGGGACACCACAAATACCCAAAGGCCAAAGATGGGAATGGTCAATACATTCGTGGAGGAATCAGGAAATTACAAACTCCCTCTGCCTTGCACCAGCCAGGAGGGAGGCCAATTGCCACACAATCCCAACCTTGTCCCCAGAATCCTGCAAGTTTTCCACCAAGGTGGTTTGCAGCTCCACAGAGAGGCACATGTCCTGTGTGGGACACCACAAATACCCAAAGGCCAAAGATGGGAATGGTCAATACATTCGCTCTAAGTTCACAAATACCCAAAGGCCAAAGATGGGACAGGTCAATATGTTCACTCTTCCCAAAGTTCACGGCACTGTCACCTCCTCATGCCAACTGTGCCAACCCTTTCCCCCTTGGATGGGCAATTCAAGGACAATCTTTCTGCTGGCAGCTGCTGAGGATGAAGCTGTTTCTGGGCTGACAGCTCCTGGCAACACAGATGGCCATTTAGAACTCAATTCCTTCCAAAACTTGACAGAATCAAACCCGATGTATATTTCGAGCCCAAAACTCAGGAGCAGATGGGGAGAATGAGGTTCTTCAGCTGAACAGCATTTAGCAGCATGACAGCAAAATCACAACGCTGCCTCAAAAAGCACTTGATATTCATCAAGGCTCAGCAATCTTTACTGCCATCCCTGCTTTGCCTCCCCATCCTTCCCAATTAAGAGCCTCGTGTTGGCAGGTTAATGGATAACACCACAGGCTGCACTAATGGGCTGTTGACACCCCACGAGGAGGAGGAGAGCAGTGGCCTCGGTCCCAACACTTTCTCACCCCATTTCTCTGCCCCAGCAGCACAGCAGACATCCATTTGCATGTTTTGAAGCAAGCACTTGAGAAAGGTGGGGAGTCACAGCCAGGATCAGGCACAAACTGCTCCCCTGCCTTGGTGGCTCATTTGGACCAGCTAAGAATCTTAGAATCATAGAATCAACCAGGTTGGAAAAAAAGCTCCAAGATCAGCAAGTTCAACCCTATCGTGGTCACTAGATCATGGCCCTAAGTGACACATCCAGTCTCAGCTTGAAAAACTCCAGGGATGGTGAATCCACCACCTCCCTGGGCAGCACATTCCAATGCCTGAGCACTCTCTCCCTAAAAAATCTCTTCCTAATATCCAACCTAACCCTCCCCTGGCAGAGCTTGAGTCTGTGCCCTCTTGTCCTGCTGCTGTTGCCTGGGAGAAGAGACCAACCCCCACCTGACTCCAACCTCCTGTCAGGGAGTTGTAGAGGGTGATAAGGTCTCCCCTGAGCCTCCTCTTCTCCAGGCTGAACACCCCCAGCTCCCTCAGCCTCTCCTCATGCCACTTGTGCTCCAGTCCCTTCACCAGCAGCTGCACCACATATTTCCCCAACAGCTTCAGCTTTACCCAACCATTATCCTGCCTTTTGTTGCAAGCAGAAACACAGAAAAAAAAAAAAAAAAGAAAAAAAAAAAAGAGAGAAAATCACTTCATTTTCATTTAGATAAAACTCCAAATCTGGAAAGCATCACCAAACATCTCCAGCAGCAAAGCCAACATTGCACTCAACCCAATGAATGGAAAGTTTTGGCTTGTCAGTTTTGAACTGAAGCAGGAAAAGGATCAAATCAGCACCAAATCATCTTAGTTTTGTCAAAATTAATTCAGGGAGGATAGAAGAGAGAGATTTGACTCACACAGTGCTGCAGCAGCCCAACCCCAAATTTCTCCTCATAGTAAGTCTCTGTGATGAAAAGCTTCACTACCTGTGCTGGAAGATGTTTGGCTCCTCAGGCATCCCCAGTGAAAATGGATTGCATGAGGCCTGGCAAATACTGCTACTTATGCTTTGTTTGGGATAATATTTATGCTCTGTTTGAAGAGAGCTGTAAAAACAAATAGAAGAGGATTTGCTGTGCTGACATAGGCAAGATTTGCTTTTCGATGCTGTTACTGGAGCAGTAATTAGATTCCAGGAGTGTTATGAGTCAGCCAACACCACAGCTCATTTTGCCAAGGATCCTCTAGAAAACACTGTGACATTTCCTGCGTAAAACACCAATCTCAGCTACGACTGGAGAGGTAAAACTCACCCGAAACTCAAAACTTTCCTCCTCTGACACACTGCAAGAAGCTGAGAGGATTCTGACAGGATCCACCACGTACCTGTGGAAGCAGCAGGGAGCAAACCATGCCCAAAGTGGCCTCGAAGTTGTCCTTGAGCCAGAGCCCCACGGCGTGGATGCAGCCGCGCACGTGGATGATGCTGAGCAGCTCCAGGCGCTGCAGGAAGAGCAGAGAGAGGTACCACGAGTTGTGTTGAGCCCTTGGGTTTGGGGGGAGATGGTTTTTTTTTT